TACTTTTAACAAAACCATTATACCCTGATTTCCCATTTTCAATGGGTTCAGGGTATAAAAACACAACCAAAAAGGAAGCAAAAATTTGACTTTTATGGTCAACACATTTTGATTTATTTAATGAGCGAAAATTGTCGGCCGTAGGCGGCTGCAGATCTACGATTCGATCTGCGATTTGTTTAGGTGTTCAGTTTCTCTTCTTCTTCTTTTTCTTCTTCTATATATTTAGCTTTTAGGCAATTCGCGGCGCTGTTTTTGCTTTGGGGTCAATTAGGGTAGACGTCCCAAAGCTGTTGAAATAGCTTGATTTCATTTGGGATTTGAAGCATCGTGTCGGTTTAACGGCTACCATATATAGAATGATTAGCAAATAGCCTAAGCTTCTAATATTTCCATAATTTCAAAAAATGAAAAAAAAAAAAAAAAAATATATATATATATAATATAATAATAATAGAGTATATAATAATAGAGTATTATACTCATAAAAACAAACTAAATAGTATATAGAGTAAAGTATTTAAAAATATGAGTAATATATACTAAGAAAATATAAAAAAATTGTGTACTTTGTATATTATAAAATAATACAAAATTAAATAGATTTTTCTTAAAGCTTAAATTATAAATTCAATCAGAAAAAAAATAATAGTATATTTAATAAAAAAAGTAAAATAAAATAAGAACAAATATTTGATGATGCAATTAAAATCACAGTAATAGATGAATAAGAATAAATTATAATAAATACATTTTTGAATACACACATTAAAATTGACTACTTGATTGATTGATTAGTTAATAAAGTGATTGAAAATCTACATTAGCTTAAGTTATGCAAGCTAGGACGTTCCTTTTAATCCGTTTCCTTATTCTAACACAGTCTAAGAATTTTCCTTTTCTGATTTCGTTCGCCAACTTCAATTAGTGTTAATGCTTGACCTGAGAGTAGCCAAGATCAAGATTTATATATTCATTTATTTTTTTCTCATCCTTTTCTGCTTTTCATTTCTTATCCTTGCCATTTTGATGAATAATTTTCTTTTCGCTCAACTTATTCAAGCTTAAGCACAATTTTTTACGACTGAACTTATTTTTCTTTTGCCATTTTCTTGTGCGGCTTTTCTTTTCTGGTTTTCTGCATTTTTATATTTTCAATGGCTAATCATACTTGGGCTTCTTTATTTTCTTCGTTTTATTTATTTTTTTTCAAGCAAGCTGCATTCATCAGCCAAACAAAAGTTTTGCAGCCAAAAGTTTTGTTGGGTCGCAGCTTCCACTTTCTCACTGAACGAAAAAAAGGGAAGAGAACGCACATTAAGGCACACCCAAACACACATACACACATACACACAGACACACTCACGCACAAGGAAAGGAAAATCGATTTAAACAGATGATTTGACAGCAGGCGCCTTCAGTTATGTATCTATATATTTTGCTAGCTGAGGCCCGCTTCACAGACAGTTTAGATGTCTGCACAGGGACAACAGCTACCGAGAACGTCCCTCAGTTGTCCTTCCGCCTGCTTTGCTCTGCCTTCTCCTGCTCATGCTCCGTTTTTGTTTTTTTCTTGCCAAATTTTTGCTCAACTTTCAGCCAACAGCTGTAGCTGTAGCAGCAGCAGCAGCAGCTTGGCCCGGGCCAACTGTCGCAGCTGGGGTGTTGCTAGTGGTCGTGGGCGTGGGCGTGGACCTTTCGGCTGGTGTATTGTCATTAACAGGAGCCTTGGAGCCAGCATTGCGTTGCCTGATGCGCATTTAATGAGCAGATGATTAGCATTTTTATGTGCGCTTCTGGAAGAATCCTTTATATAGCGTTGCATCTGGGAAGTCTGTGAAGTCTGTGAAGTTAATTGAACTGTCAGATGCTGAGCATTTAGTTTATTGGCCGTATATTTGTTAATAGTTCTCGGTCGGACAGTGGCTGTTGCCAGTCGGCGCACGGCGATAGCTGCGATAACCAAATGCGCCACGTGCCACATCAACGATTTATTTCGCTGTGGCTTAGCCGATGGGGGCGCTGGCCTTGCCTTGCTCTACCTGGCTTACCAAATGGATGATGCCCCTGCCGAAGGACAAGCTGATTTATGAACTGGGACTGGAAGTGGAGCAATGAGTGCTAAAGAAATGATAAAGGCAGCAAGGCGTTCGAGGATATTTAGTGAAGAAGGGTGCTCTTAGTAGACGTAGAATTTTATATAATATGAGATGTATATACATATGTATTTAGTTATTGGCTCGGTGCTCAGTGAAAGAATGCAACGAAAACAGATGTGGATAGCATAGCGTTTCAGATATTCGGAAGGAATGCTATAAAGATAAGCTGTTACAGCATTGTGGCTGTGCAGGGTAGAGGGAGTTATATAAAGTAAAAATAATAATTTTCGACAGACAGATTACAATGACTAACAAAATATATTTTTTAGATTCATACTAACTTAAGTGTAGAAATGCTTAATTATGAGCTTTTAGCGCCCATGACCACATGGTAGAGGATATCTGCTAGTCGAGCCTGCGGCTTGGCTACTTTACATCGGTTTTTCATGCTAACAAAGTTGGGATACGCTTTGAGCTGGATTTGCTATTGTGTGGGCTCTAAAAGGTAATTATTGTGTACACAGTATATATATATATAGAACATCCCAAAAAGTTGGGAAATCCTTGAACTAATTTCTACTTCCCAAATGTGTATGTATGTGTATGCACACGCACACACACAAAGAAATACCTAGAAAATACATAGTCAGGAAAGGCCTGCAACAATATAAATGAAAATGAACGGAAATGTGAAAAGCCATCAGGTTCCATTATCTCGCTCTCTCTCTCTCTCTCTCTCTCTCTCTCTCTCTCTCTCTGTCGCTCGCAGTGTGTGTAAATCAGTGTAAAGCAAAGTTCGAACTATTAAGTCCACAATGCCGAGCCCCACAACCGCACACAGATATCCACCACGCCCCTGGCGCCCTTGCCCACAGCCAGATACCACATGCATCCTGCCCGGCGCAGCAAATGAAATTAAGTCGTCCTCTGGCCCGTTCCCCGCCCACTTGTTGGGAAATGCCCTGCATAATGCAATTAAAAAACATTTTCTTTGTTTTGGTTTTCCTTTTGCTTCCTCTTTTTTTTTATTATTTTGTTTTATTGCTGTGCGCAAAAAGAAAAATCAATAAGGGAAACAACGAACAACAACTAAGAACCAGCAGTGCCCAGGCACAGATATGTCACGACTTTGGTATACCCTGTCTCAGTTGAAATAATAGATTAGGCTATGATGACAGCGCTGAGATAACTGTATACATAAATTCACGAATATTATTCAGCTATTTCCACCATATTCTGCATTATAAGTGTACCCAAGGCAACTGCAACTACGTGCTTTTGAAATCAATCTGGCACAAGGATAATAATATGCGAAGCAGGCGCAGCTTTTAAGTGCGTAGTTCGCTGAAAGTGTGCGTGTGTCGGTGTGGGCGTGGCAAGCTCTTACCGCATAAATGATGCACAGAATGGAGCTTTTGCATTATGAATGAGAGCAAGAGATGAAAAGAAAGAAATCTCAGCAACAGCAGCTCGCATTCGCGTTGTGGGAAAAAAGCAGAAACAAGAAATGACCTTCGGCTGATGCTTCGAACCCAGTTCCAGATCCATAATATATATTCTCTTTATATATGTACATATGTATGCCAGCAATTGTTGTAATTTAACCAATTGCAGGCAAGTTAGTTG